TCTCCCTTTTCCCTCCCCTTCAACCCCCTAATTAGCCATGAATCACAATAAAACGTGTCAGTTATGATCCTGCAAACTCCTGGCTGATGTTTATTCATTTACCTCTCTTCATCTTTATCTTTCTCTTTCCAACCCGAGCTTCTAAGCATTTGTTTAATTTCTCAGCGTGATTAATTTTGCAACTCTTCGTCGTTCTGCTGACTACAGCACCCCAGAGTGGTGAAATTCTCTCATGCAGGGGGAAAAGCAGGACTTATCAGTGTTATTTCTTGGTCACCCACTTTCATTCTGCTTTGACTTTGAAGACACAATCTGTGCTGTCCCAAAGCTAAAGGTCTTTTCTCCTGATGGAATCCTTTCCCAGGGAATTTGCTGAGATCTGAAAGGTTGGATGAACCTTTTAAGAGGTAGGATATCTCGTCAGGAAGATTAAATAGAGCGGGAAGTCATTGGAAGAATCATGGAATGGTTTGGGTTGGAAGGGACTTTTAAAGATCATCTCACTCCACCTCCCCTGCCGTGGGAAGGGACACCTCCCACCAGACCAGGCTGCCCAGAGCCCCAGAGATAAATCCAGCCTGAAGGATTCAGAAACAGCACCCAATTTGTCTGGAATTCTACTCAAACATGGCAAAATTCGAGAGACGAGATTAAGGAATCAAATATTTGCACTCGGTGATTTGTGAAATCCTCAGGGAAGGGAAGCGACTCCAGAACAACTTCTTTTAAATCCCAGCCCAGCATAATCTTGGGGCACTGGCAACGAGTTCTAAACCTAAAATCCCGGTTGGCCCTGTCAGGTGCCAAGTTCTTTCCCGCTGTCCCTGCAGCTGCGGAATAAATTATCTCCGGCAGAGCTCCAGGTCCAAGCACCGCCCCGAGGCCGCGCCCCCGAATTCTGCACATGCTTTTCCCCGGTGATTCAGACCCAAATTCCACGGGACAAACCTCTGAGCATCCCGTGGAGAGGCTCCGCCGTGGAGGGGAGGGAATGGAAGTGCCCCTTGCCCCCAGGGCCGCTGGGAGAGATGTTTTCCTGGTCCTTAAAAATGCCTCAACGGAGCGGCTGAGCCGAAAAAAAAAAAAAAAAATGGGTCAGAGGAAAACGTCAGAAAGGTGGCTGTGCTGGAATTGTTGGCCCATGAGGTCACTGCTCCTCTGGCTGCCCTCATTCCAGATTTTCCACACATAAAAGCGGATTTTCCACTCGTAAGAGGCTCGTCCTTGCTGCGCAGTCACTCACTTGGCCGAGGCGCCCCCGACCTGGAAAAGGGGAATGAATTCATTTAAATAAAGGGAATAAACATCCCATCCCCCAAGGGATCCCGTGTTTGGAGCTCCAGCCTTCCAGTCACACACACACACACACACAGGGCAGCTCCTCATGGTCCTGATGTCACCCTGGAGTCCCTCCCCTCGTGCTCTTGGAAGGTCTTCCTGTGGTTTTCCCACAGCCTCCTCTTTTGGGCGCATCACTCAGCGTGCCGGCATTCCAGGTATCCTTTTATCCCGGGATCCCATGGGACCGGCAGGAGGGGAACGGGCACGACCAGTGGCAGAACTAATTAGATAATGGGCCACTGCACATGCAAAGGAGCTGAGCTGACGTTCCAGCCGGGGAGATGCTAATTGGGGCTGATTAATCTGACAGCAAGTGCCAGAAAAAAAAAAAAAACAAAACAAAACACACACACACACACACACACATGGCCGTGGCAGAGCTGGGCTCCTCATTCCCAGGGAATGTCTCATTCCCAAGAGAACTCGGCCACATATAAAAGCTTTCAGCCCCGGCTCTGTCCCCAGGACTGCTGCGACTCCCTGCCCAGCCCGTCCGTCCCTCCTGCTCCCAAAGGGTGAGTTGGATTCTCTCAGCTCTACTCAG